TGCACAAGTCACAACTGGAAGTCGTCAAAAGTATGAAGTGAGCTTTCTGAAAGACCCAGTAAAAAAGAATGAGTTCAATTTGGAACCAAAGAACAGATTTCAAGCCCTTCAAGATCTGGATGAATGTGAAGTAAACGAACACTGGGACAAGATAAAAGAGGCAGTAAGTGCAACTTGCCAGGGCACCCTAAGACCCTAAGACAACACCAGGAAAGAATGGATTTCACAGGACTCTCTAGACGAAGTTAAAAGAAGAAGAGAGCTGAAAGCTTAAGTCAACAACAGCGTGCCCAAACTGAGAAACTCGCTGCACAACAAGAGAACACCGAAGTAAACCGGGAGGAAAAGAATTCCATCGAGAAGGACGAGAATACCAACCTGAATGGTCTGGCCGAAAAGGCAGAGAAAGCAGCAACAGACGGACACTTTCAGGTAGGTTCAAAAAGCACAGTCTACCAGTGAAAGACAAAGAGGGAAAGACTATGTTCAACCCAGAGGGGCAACTTAACCGATGGAGAGATCACGTTGATCAACTCTTGAACATACCACCTCCAGAAAACCAACCAGAAATTCTTCCAGCCAGAAATGACCTCCCAATAGACACGGAACGACCTTCGAGAGAGGTAATTGCTGCAGCTATAACAGCACTGAACTCCCACAAGATAGCTGGTCCGGACCATATATCACCGGAAGCTCTTAAGGCAGATAAAGATACATTAGTGGAAATTCTCTAAGCTCTATTTGAAAAAGTTTGACAAAAGGAGGAAATACCATCAAACAGGAAGGAAGGCCCCCTAATCAAGCTGCCAAAGAAAGGAGATCTCAACAATTATAACAACTACAGAGGCATTGTACTCCTGTCCATATCTGGGAAAGTCTTTAACAGGATACTCCTGAAGAGAATCAAGTTGGCAACAAAAGAGAAGCTCTGAGGAATCCAGGCAGGATTCCGTAAAAACCGATCATGTGTGGACCGCTACTCTGCGCATCATTGTTGAGCAACCGCTTGAATGGAATTCACCACACGTGGTCAACTTCATTGATTATGAAAAGGTGTTTGACTGCGTGGACAGGGAAACTCTGTGAAAATTCATGCGGTTTTTAGGAGTACCTGACAAAATCGTCAAGATTGTGAAGGCCACCTATGATGGAACAAACTGCCAAGTGTTCCACGAAGGACAACTCTCAGAACCATTACAGGCACAGACAGGAATTCGTCAAGGTTGCTTGCTCTCGCGTTTTCTCTGCATACTGGCAATTGAGTGGGTCATGAAAGAAGCCACCAGAGGCAAGCGTAATTGAATACAGTGCATCCCTTGGCAGCAGCTGGAGAACTTGGACTTCGCCTATGATCTTGCACTACTCTCTCACACACTACTGCTCAGATGCAAGAAAACACCAACGAACTCAACAGCCTATCAAGAAATGTTGGCCTACGTATACATCAAGGCAAGTAAAAAGTAGTGAAGTTAGGAAAAGTTTCAAGCCCTGTTCTGACAGTGGAAGACACTCCCCTGGAAGAAGTCGACTCCTTTATCTAACTTGGAAGTGTCATCGATGGAAAAGGTGGAACCGAGGCATATATTAAAGCAATAACTACCAAGATAAGGCCAGCGTTCAATCAATTATCAAAAGTCTAGAAAGCAAGCAACATCTCACAGCACACCAAGATTCGACTCTTTAACTCCAACGTAAAGTCTGTGCTCCTCTACGGCTGCAACACTTGGAAGACAACAAAGACAGTACTGAATAACGTCCTGGCTTTCATCTACAGATGTACGAGGAGTATTCTAAGTATAAATGAAGAGCTGTGAGAAAGGACAGGACAAAAGGATATAGAAGTAGAAATAGAACTAAGAAAGTGGCGAGGGAAGAAACACACCTTAAGAAAGCCCAGCGGAAACATCACAAAACCGTCACTGCAGTGGAACCCACAGGGAGCACGAGGCAGGGGTAGGCCACGAAAAACATGGAGGAGATGCGTGGAAAGGAACATGAGAGAGATGAAGCTCACTGGGAACGAGCTTGGAAGGATGGCCCAGGACAGAGATAAATGGAAGGAGCTTGTATGTGGCCTATACCCTGCCAGGGGTGAAAGGCATTGATGATGGTGATGAAGAGACTGATTGCTTCGACCCTGCCCTTTTCTCTGAGAACGTCGTGCCTATGCACCTAATTACATTAGTTAATTTACTTTGTGGGCCTGGAGATAAAGTAGAGTACACGTAGCGCTAGGCAGGCGTCAGTTCTGTTAAATCATACAAGATTAGAAAAGAACTATTTAACAGATCCAGTAGATTCGAGAGAGAATAGTAAAATTCACTATGATACAAATATATAGAAATACTGACCTATCGCAAACACCAAGGCCCCTCCGTCTTTGAGCGCTTTGGCCTGAGCCTGAGTGTACATGTAGTTCTCAGAACGGCCGTCAGTGATGACGATGACAACATGGCGCACATCAGACCTGGGAGGCAGAGAGTTGGGGGGGGGGGGGGAG